ATGGGATAAGTAGGGTTATAAATCAGTGAAAGTAGTAGCACATACAAATATAGATTAACTAAATGATACAGTTTCTATATACAAGGATAATTTACAGTAAATATTTAAGCGTTTTTACATTTAAGGACTTGAAAACATACACAAATTATTTTCAAATCAACAATATCAAAACAACATATCATATTTTGGAAAAATTATTGAGGGAACAGAATACAAAAAGATGGTAATATTTTTATAAAAATTTTTATGAGATATGTCTATAACAGTGATAATTAATTTCATTTTTTAGTATAACCATTATATTGTTGTTTCCTGCATTACAACAACTCAAATAAGCCAAGAAAATTTTTGTTCGTTTATTGAATCAAAGCTTGATAAAGAATTAGTTAATCAACTAGAAAATTTTGAGGAAGTTGATTATAGTCATATTGGATTGAAAACAGAAAAATGTGGAATAAAGATAAATAAAAGGTAAAATTATTTTCGGCTCGAATGCTAGTACGTCTTTGGGAGGTGGCATGAGGTCCTCGATTATGATGTACGCTGGCTTTTGGGCCATTCCTCCGACATCTTATTGTTTTCCTTCCCCTAAAATTATTCCTAGTTTATCTCCATCACTTGACATTCTTCATTATTTTAATAAAAATTTTGGTTTGGATGCCGTATATCAGAATTTCCCAGGATTTGCCAACCCTAGTCATAGGCTTCGAAAATATTTGTAACGCAACACCTCACTATAACTGATATTTTTAATCAGTTTAATTTCGAAAAAAAATTTTTTAGAAAACATTTCTGCACTTCCTGGCTTATGGGAATTAAATTTAGCCAACAAATTAGTTATGAACTTTCAACTAAATTTTATGCCAAATTTGAGAAAATAAAGGAGACGCTTATAAATAAATTTGTATTAAAAAATCTTTGTCAGCGTATTGACGCTAAAAGTGAATTGAAGATTTTGGTATTGAAAAGAAATGAACTAGAGAATTGGTAAACATTTTTGATGATTTTTATTTAATTAATATATTTTTAAGGGGATTTTGATGATTATTGGAGGTTAATCTTAAAAGATGAGAAATTTGATAATTAAAGTTTTTATTTGATATTTATTTTGCGTAACAGAGCTCGCTATACTGTCACCTCTCGAGCATAGAAAATGTGACAATAATGTGAGAGTGACATATGCAAAAGGGATCTAGCCGAAATAAAAAATAAAATTTCGATTTATAGTGATCAAAATGCTAGATCCTTAATATGCATGTGTGGTGACATTATAGTAAGACCCACTGCAAATAATATTCAACCGATAGATATTTAAAATTTATTTAAAGTAATATGTCTGATCATAAAGTTTTTCATGGAACTATGAGAATTTTTATAACAAATCCTCAGCTAAAATTACAAGTTCTTTCTTTGGACGTAAAAGCATCACAGATTCAAGTTCTAGGGGTAGTTTCTGAATTGAAGATTTTTTTAATTTTAAAAATTTTAATAACCGGACTGTTTTGACTCGGTTTGAATTTAAAACGCCTGATCAAAAGAGCAATAACTACTTGCATTTGTATTTCTGCAAAGCGCATACCAAGGCAGTTTCTTGGACCCAGACCGAAGGCTAAGAACGTTAGCGGATCCACAGAAGCTTTTTCTTCGCGAATAAATCTTGAATTAATTTTAAGTTAAAAAAAGGTTTACGTTCTTCTAATTTATTTGTCCTTGTCTATTATATTCGGTTCGGTAAACCATAATGATTTAATTTGGAATTTGAATTGATTTAATTTACACAGAATTGGTAGGAAGCCTTTCAATAGCTTCCAGTCCTTCATTAGTTTGGGATAGTCATGACCTCCCAGTCCTATGATCAGAAAAATACCGTAAATATCCTAATAGAAGCCCATGCCATATTAGAAGCCCATCTGTTTTTTGAATGTCAATTTTTCTATTTCCCTTGTTATAGTCGACTAAAAGTATTGATAACGAAATTTCAATGGCCGAAAATGAATATAGAGAGATTTGGATGGAATATTATGAGATGTGGATGGATTAGGTAGGATTATGTATGAATATTACGAGGAATATTAAGGGGATTAGAAGCTTTTTAAGATATGTAAGAAATTTGGGTTAAGAGGATAATTGATGATTTAGAGTCGGATATCGTTGGTTATCAATGAACTAAGAGAGATATAGAGGGATTTGGATTAATATTGACGGATTTGTGTTAATATTAGGCGATTGAAGGATTAAGGGTAATATGGGAGCATTATTTGATATAAACTTGGATATGAAAAATATAGAGTGTGTGTGTTAAATGTGTTCCAAGCAGTTATGAACTTTTTGCCAAATGCTAATGATTGGCACGCAAAAATATGAAAGCAACAAGATGGAGGCCATAGCTACCATAATAATTTTACATTTAAAAGAGTGAAAATTTAATAACTAACACTAAACATATAACATCCCTGATTAATTCTTAACTACTTAACTTAAAATTTGTTCAAAATTTTAAGTTATATTTTGTTCGGTAAACCACAATGAGTTAATTTGGAATTTATTGTCTGTGAAAGACATTTTTTATTAAGTTTTAAATGACCCTAAACTCTCAATAAATTGAGGCATATATTTTTTCAATAGCTCCTAGTCCTTCATTAGTTTGGAATAGTCTTGACCTCCCAATCCTATCATCAGAAAAATAACTTCAAAAAACATTCACTACTTTTCTGGCTTGAATTCTTCAGGTTCGGGGAAAAATTCTTCATTATGTTGAATAGAATAGATTGGTATAGAAACGAGGTCTCCTTCACGTAAATTAATTCCGTTTAGATTTAGATTAGAATTGCAGGCACGATTTGAACTGTGAAAATAATTTCGGATTATTATCTTTTAATTCAAAATTACACTGGAGCTGGTGGGTACATTCTTAGCGTTTCTTGCAAAAACGCTTGAAGATAATCCATCTTTTTTAAATGTTCATATGAAATATCCTCCTAAAATATTTATTTAAATTTTGGCATCTCTGAAAAAGTGAAGGATATCCTTAAATATTATTTACATCTATCCCAAGCACACTATTAATTTCTTCTCGCAATTTTTCTTGAACTTCGGGATGCATTGCAAGCATATAGGCTGCAAATTGTAAAACGGAAGCTGTTGTGTCATAACTGTATAAAAGAGATTAGGTATACTGTTTGGATTTGTGTTACTTTCAAACCCAGCAATTAAAAGCATGAACCCTTGAGCAAAAAGCTCTATCTTGCTTAGATATTTATCATTCTGTCTCGTGATTAGATTATTATTTATTTCGTTAGTAGTTTGTTCCGTTGTAATATCTTCAATTTGAGAATCATTTACAGCGTTCATGAGTAATTGAAAAATGTCATTAAATTTCTAATAAATAAAATGTATCTCTTGAGGAATGAGTCAAGACGCATCGGAACTCTCTAGATGCGAAAACGCCTGTGGACTGTGATATAGATTCTCGAAAATCGAAAAACCATAGCAAGGAGTAAGCATGATAAATTACAATAATAGCTCATTCGAAAGAGCTCGCCGAGCTGAGTCAAATCTCGAAATCAACAAAATTCGGCAAAGTTGACAAAGTTATTGTCATTTGTTTCAGCTCCTTCCCTATGATTTCTGTGGAGATTTTTGCTGATGCGGAGGAATCCAGGTATACCCACCGCCGTAAAGATAGGAATAGGTTTATATTACTGGTGTGCTCAAGCGTCTTGCCTATGCCCATAGGTTCACTTGGTTATATTTAGAATTGTAGCTTTGTCGAACCTTGTTAGATCACGGTATTTTTGTCTAACACTTTTAAAATCAGAAAAACTCACATCCTTTGCTTCAGGATCATCTTTACGTTCATCATACAATTTGGACATGAGACCATGAAAATACTTTTGTGCAGGCATATCCCATAAATCAATCGAAAAGTAATTTTCTAATAACTCTTTTATCGAAGGGAAAAATGCTGAAATTTTTAACAAATCTTAGCAATTTTAAATTAAAAAAACTCAGAACGGCAAAAAAAGCCATCTTTTTCGTTGCATTTGAAAAAAGCAAAGCTTGTTTAACTATTTCATTCTCCTCCCCAGAAAATGTTTTAAAATCTGATGAAAATCCAGAACGGCCTATAACATCAATAGTAAAAAGACCAAAAATTCTTAATAAAAATTGAAAAATTAGATAAAAATAAATTACTCCTTCAGAGGTATTTCTTCATTTGTTACAACATATTTACGAGAAATGTAATTAATTAATTCATTACTACTTTCGGATATAGTTGGAATTATCTGCAATTATTAAAATTTTTAGGGGTTAGTCTCTTGACTAAAATTTCTCTCGAATTTTTATTCTCTCAAAATATGGTTCTAGTTTAGGACATGCGTCGATTTAGAGTATATGCGTCCCAAAAATAGGATATGCGTCCCATCAGAGAATATGCAACCTACAACTAGAATACGCGTCTCATGAGAGTATATGCGTCCCAAATCCTCAATTAGCTGCCTAAATTCCAAGATATCCGTCTTAAATCCCAACCCAAGATATTCTTAATCCAACAAAAACTTAATCCTCCCTCTCTGTTAATGCCCTAAATTTTTATTATTCCTAATCCCTCTATATCCACCCATCGGGACTCAACTTTTCAGCAACGCATGCAAAATTTTCGAAAATTTTGGAAGGCCATGGACCCAAATTCCCTCTATTTTCAGTGCTGGTGGCAATTTATGGGATTGATTAAAAATTGTACGTGATACTGTCCCGTTCTTACAATTACTGTATGCTTATATTATTTTGGGACGCTTTAATATTTATGGGACGCATATTCTCTGTTGGGACGCATATATGTATTTTAATGGGACGTATAAAAGTTTTGTGATTCAATAACACAAAAATACACAAGATCAACTAACCATAATTCTTAAATAATAAATACTGCGGTCAGTTGATCTTGCTTATTTCTTTCCCAGAATCTTGCTTATTCTGAAAAAGAACCATAAATCTTATCATTTTCCAACCTTCTTTAACTTAGCTGCAGTAAAAGCTGGCGTTATAGTATTACGAACACGTCGCCAATCATCACCTTGAACAACCGAAACCATGCTTCTAAGCAAACTATTTTGTATAATCTTTTTATTTTGAGTAATCGGAAAGCCCTTTAAAAAATTATTTAAAAAAAATTTAGAATAAAACGATTACGGAACGTGTTGGGAAATGAACAAAATCCTTAATGAAAACTTGTTTGATTAAATCCAGGTCCGAAGTAACAAGGTTGTTCATATCGAGAAGATACATTCTGTTGGGATTATTGTTTGTTTAGAAATTTGTATGTAAATTTATACCCGTATGTTTTCCCAAACTTTTCACGATTTTCTTTATCAAATTGTATTACTCCATCTTTGGATTTTACTTCGATCATATGGCCTACAAAAATATTTGCAGGAGAGCACGGCACTCCAAGTTTTTGCCAATATTGTTTTTTGTCGTATAAATGCCTTTTATTAATAATTTAAACTAGAGACCGGACTGGGAGAAGCGTAAGGGATATCTCGAAAAATTTCGCTCCCGAATTTTATTCGAGGTTTAGCCTCGAACGTGTCTCTGATTTAAACGATTATATGCCAAAAAATATTTTTTACAATATTAATTACCATATCCAAAGCATTAAAGACAACGTTGATAATATCAGAAACACATAAAATTGGGTAAATTTATAAAATACACAGATTAATAATAATATAATTGCAAATTCATCTCCAAGACCAAAGCTGTACATCTAGAATTAATAAAATTGTTGTTACTGGCAACCACTATCAAAAAACGATATAATATAATAAATGGAGAATAAAGCCGCTAGTGTATTTCACGATTAGGGGTATAACGGTTAGGGTTGGGGTTTTCGAGTCGGGCCGACGTTTGAGTCATTTTTTCTGGCTTCGTTACTCGGCCGGCCTGACCGAGTCTTTTTCGGTCAAAATTCATACCCGACTCGATCTTTGCCCTCATCCCTAATGACAATTGCCGCAAGCCGCCACCCTCTTACACAATTATATACTACATAAAACAGATTAAAAACTAAAGCTTCCGGTATCAAAAAAATTTTGAACGGAATTTTGATTTTTTAAATAGTAAAATTCTGAGAAATATAGGTCTTAAACAAAACTTCATCCAACCCCCATATCATTCTTTCTTACGACGAAAAATTCCGAGGGGTTAGTTATGTTATTGAGAGAATTTATACAAATCGAGCCTCAGATTCACACTAAAAATTTTTAATACATTAAGAATAAAATGCCCTTTGTATTATAATAGAATGCCCTTTTGTTGGTCAAAAAATATTCATTTTTTTGTTTAACTTATTCAAAGTTTAAGAGAAAAATAAAAAATTTTTTAAACATAATGTAGAAATAAAAAAATAAAGTATTTAGTTTATTTATAATTTAAAAATAAATTTAACTTGGACAAAAACAAACAATTAAAAAAAAATCAATTTTTTCACGTATAAAAATAAACACAGCTGTCAACAGTCTTTACCTTTCACATTTTGCCTGGCTGTCATAAAATCGTTCCTCACATAATGGGATGTTTTTGCGTTATTTCTTCTTTTCATCTCTCTATTTTTCTTTTATTTTGGCTGAACTTTTGTTTTTTTTATTTAGCTCAAAGTAACTAGTCCCAATAAAGGATTTCGGGAGGGATTGGAAGAAAGGGAATTAAGATAAAGAGAAATCGTTTAGGTAACGTGAAATAATGGAGGGATTGCTAAAGTCATGCGCATATGCAGAGTAGGCAATCACAGAGAGAATTTTTCCAAAAACTCGCGTTTTTTAGTAGAGGATGCTACATACACTCTGTCAGAAAATTATAAGCACTCCCTAGTTTTTTAGTAAAATGTAGGGGATATAAATTATTTACATATGGATATAACTGGTATGGATATAACTCTATGCGTCCAATCACACTTTTTAATACCCGGTTCTATGCGTTAAAACCTAAGGTCTGGTAATATGCGTGTGTATTATAACTCTGGTTAAATAAAACTTTCTATTTCCATAGATTTTACGATAATTTAGTGCAGAACCGGGTACTTAAAAAATTTGATTGGACGCATAAAAGTTGTTTGGACGCAAAAAAATTTGTTTGGACGTATAAACTTTTCATTGGACGTATAAAGGTTGTTTGGACGTATAGTAAATGTGCGGTTGGACGCCTAAACTGGACAAGAGCCCTGGTATTTCCTAAAAAATGACTGTCAGACAATTATAAGCACCCCTAATAATTTATATCTGATTGCTTTTTTCTTTTGAATATGAATAAGAAATTTGCAAAAATATTCAAAATTATGACATATTAAATTAAATTATGTTTTCTTTCTAAAAAACAAGGGATTACTTATATTTTTCTGACAGAGTGTATGATAAATTAAAAGGAAATTGAAAATTATTTTAAAAACAAATTATCTTTATTTTAATTCAAAATAAATTATAAAAATCATCCAATAATTAAAAATTTTTTTTTCTTAATCTCGTTTCTTTTAAACTATCTCAATTTACATTTTAGTATGTGCCAATGATTTCTATTTCGTTATTTGAACCATTAATTTCAATTAGATTACTTTCCGAAACATCGTCAATGTGCATCTATAAATTTTATAAAATTAAAATATGGGAGAGAAATTCTCTAAAATTTAAAATTAGAAAATTAAAAAACAAGCAAATTTATGAAATGTTCAAAAATAATGATAAGAGTGATAAAATCAGTTAAAATCGAAGTAAATAGAACCAGGTTTCGGATTGGTACCTATTTTGGAAGTACAGTACTTACAAATAGACTTTTTGGTTAAACATTAAATTTAACCTAAAAATTTCAATTTTCGCTTGCGGCGAGAAAATGGAATACTTATGGCCCTTTGTTGCCAAAAAATGTTTTTGGAAATTTTTTTGTAGAGTATTTATATTTAAAAATTTTCCCCTTATGTACTTCCAAACTGACATTTTGTACTTACACTTAACATTTTCTCGATCCGAACCCTGTTCTAATAATCTCAATAATTTCTAAAAATTAGTTATTAGGCAAGACAAAAAAATTAAGGGAAGCAAACTGAGATTTGATGATTGTGAGATTGATTGAGATTCGGAAAAAAGTGAGATTGTGATTTTGAAAAATGTGAGATTTTTTTGATTGCGATTGAGTGATCACGAAGTGATATTCTACTAATAACCTTTACAATTCTGAATGTTACCTCAATTGTATTGGAAGCACCATTTATACTCGTAATTTTCCCGGTTGGTTTTAACCTTTTAAATTCTTCAGAAAATATATAAGCAGTTCTTCTTCTTGGAATAACAAAATTACATGGGCCATTTACTTCGATTTTAACTGATTTTCCTACAATCTTTTTTTGATTTATATTTTCATTTTCAATGTAAATATTGTTCCCATATATTTTAAAATTATTTGATGCCCCATTTATTTCTATATTATTAGCTTCTTTAATAATTTTATTTGTGCTTTGTACTAGAATTTTATTGGAGAAAACAAATATTTTTAAATTGTTTGAACACGAATTTATTTGTGAGCCATGAGACCTTGAATAAGTAAATCCTGAAGAAGTGTATGCTTTGAACCCTCCAAAAATATTTTCATAATCTGGAAAATATCCAAATCCAAAATTATTATTGAAAGTTGAGTATGTTCCCTCTGACGACGTTCCTTAATTTTTATTTTTGATCTGCTAGAAGTTAAAATAAGATACCAAAATTTGTATATCCTTTACTTGATGATCCATCAGACGTAGTAGAGGATGTTCCAGAAGATGCGTGCAATTCCTTATCATAATCCCTCCGTTTTTGCTCATCGCCAAGAATGCCATAGGCAACATTTATTTTTTGTGTAATTTCTACGGCTCTTGAGTCTTTATTTTTGTCTTGATGATATTTTAATATTAATATGTTGCGTGCTTTTTTAATCTGTTCAGCTGTTGCATTTCGTGGAACTTTTAATGTTTCGTAGTGGTTAGGTATACTAGACATATTTAGCTAAAAATTGTTTATTATGAAGAATGTCTAATTAAGAGAGGAATGTTAATGTGATCCCATACACAAAAAACTAAACACTTAATTTCAAAATAACCCCAAATTCATGCTTCGCAGACCATGGGGGTTCTGAAAGAAATAGGAAAACCATAAAAATCCGACTCCTAGTCAAATGCCAATCAAAGTTTAAGATCAGTTGAAAATAGTAATTTTATTTAAATATGATATTGGGGATGAAAGATTATTATTTAGTGCTTTTTCTATTTAGCCATTTTCCAAATACCCATATTTATTTAGATAGTAGTTCCCTAAGTAAATCTTTCAAATATTATTTCTTCAACTTTTCTTATATTTTCTTTATGTTTATTACATGGGAAATGGAGTCCACTCCAGACTATCGTCACAAATTATCCCCCTAACAAATAAGTATCGATGACCCAAAGTATCGTCGTTTTGTATTAAATTATCCGGTACTTATTTGTTAGTTGACCCCCCTGTCTAAATATTTACTTGATGTAAAAAATGGTCAGTCATTCCTTACTTGCATATATATTTAAAATAATATCCATGGGAGAAGAAAAACCAGGGAATTGGGAACGGGGGTCGGGAAATGACCTCTGAAGTCGGGATCGGAAGTCGAGAATTTTCAATAAAGAATTTTTAAAAATTACAAAAAAATTTTTTTGGCCTTCGGTGTCAAAAATTCCGATTTTCGATTTTTTGCGCCGCAAATTGCGATTTTTTCACCACAGGAGAAAATTTTAAGAAGGAGGTAAATAAATAATACGAATTTTAAAATCGTTCTCACGAGACAAAAAACGTAAGATAATGAGAAAATAATTCACATCCTACGATTAGGACTCGAAACTAATACTCCTTTATAGCTAGAGTTAATTTTTATGTAAATGCTTATTTTTTTTTGGCAAACTTGGCTTGATGTATAATTCACAAACACACTGTTTCCGCATGTTTTGAAAACTCTAGATGGGGTTTCTATTTGCATATAATGCATATTTTAATGCATATTTTGATGTTTTTGGGGAAAATAATGCGAAAATGACACATAATCCTGCCAAAAAGTGAAACTTTAGTAAAAATTTAGGAAAAAATTTGTAAAAATTAAAAATTTTATAAAAAAATTTTGCTTATTGGGCGCGCCCCAAAAATTGCCCAAGCCCATAATGTCTCAACCCAAGAATGTCACACCAAAAATGTCACACAGCCAAATCTCAAGTCCCACGAACACGTCAGGGACTCTCC